TTTGCTAGTGATGTTGACAAGGTTGCCATGAGCCCCTTGAACTGTGAACAGAAGGGCAAGTGCTATAGTGCCTGAAGGCAGGTTTCTATGGTGACTTGACAGATGAAAATTGAGTAATTGCAAGCTAAACCCAGGTAGGGGTTTGTCCGAAGTAAATTCAATACTAAATAAAAGCATTGCTTTTGTATTGATTATTATTTAAAGAGCTAACATGTATGATTTCAAAGCAGCACTTGAGAAAGAAAACATTCATCATCAAATAGTTATAATCTTTAAATCCTTGCAGGAAGCTTGGCTTGCCTTCTCCTTTGTCTGTCAGAGAAACGACCTAAAATAAAGTTATTCACCGCTAATGTTTTTGGAACGATTCCATGGAAAATTAAGAACATGGAAAGTCAGAGGTGTATAGGGTAAACATACATTAAAAACTGTTTTTCTTCCGCAGTTTATATGGGCTGTAGCTGGCAAAGATCTGGCCTGGAAGCTCTGAAGGGTTATCTTATATCTTCTGTTCCTACTAAGCAGTGCAGACATAGGAGTCTGTGTGCAATGCAACATCTCAAAACTACATGAAGAAAACACTAAATGTTCAATGAGGTGTGATAGTTTTTAAATCTCACGGTTTATATTTGAATTAAGATTAAGGGAAGATCAGTTTTGCTGAGTACAAAATACTGCTTAAGCTTTAAAATGCTCTGTAGATAGAAATGCTCTTTTGTTAACGCGTTATCTCGCTACATGACACTCTTTGGAGCTAATATTAGCGTAAGAACATTTTGTTAGAAAACTTGACCAAGAGTTGCGGATGCGAAAGTCCACTTAAAACCCAATACTACAGTAAAACAAAGCTAAAGAAGAAGAGACTACTCTTTTGGAAATCCTTCCCGTTTGTACTGTGTGTATACCATACGTTTGTGCACGGTGCAGTAAGAATAAAATAGAAGAATGTGCATTTGAATGGCGTTTGGCAGTGGTGAGCAATTTTAAGTACTCACTCTCCACCTCTCATCACCCCCACACACTCTCTTGAATATCTACACATACACACAAACACACACACAGATGTCAGAGAAGCCTGAGTGACTCTAGCCCTGTCACTGGGTGCCTACTGTGAAAACACTCCCCCCTCTCTCCCTCTCCCTCTCCCTCCCCCAGCCCAAAGCCCCCTCCCTCTTTTCTGGACGCCAGCCTGACATACCAGACCTTGTTCGTTAGCGCATATTTTTACCCACCGTTACTAAATTAGGAAGCCAGAGGGAGCAAATGGTGTGTAGCTGCCAAGGCAGAAGAAGAAGGGTCTGATCAGGCCTGGGTTTGTTGAGGGCCCATGCCAACCCTACCAGCTTCATTAAGAGCCACTTGGGTTTCAGAAATAGAAGCCCAACAGGGACTGGGGCCAAACAGAGCCCTGAATGGCCAGCCAAAAACTCACGGGACAAACAAACAAATAAACGAGTTGTCTCATGGCCTGCCAGAATCAACCGGCAGCAGCCATCCCAAGGAGCCATTAGAAGTTATCTTAGGCAGTCTTGGATACAAAATGTGCCCTGCCCCGAGTTTAAAAGTGGTGACAGTATACACACACTCCCAGCAGCATGATACAGAATAAATTAACCTAGAAAGCTGTCTCTGGAGACCAATTTCTCAAAGCAGCCACAGAGACGTTATTTCTTGTTTATTTGGCATGAATATTGGGTACTGATGTAAGAAAGTATATTTTCACAAGGAAATGTACATTTCCTCCTCCTGCTATGGGTATATAGCTTTTATATTAAAGCACAAAATGATGGGAAACACAGGTTATCAGCACTTTTACAGCAACATTTTAATTTGAAGGCCTTTTAGTTCTTCGAATACACCTGTACTAACAATTTATAGCCATACAACTGTACTATCATACCCTTTATAAAAAGGAAGAATGTTGCACAGCATCGAAACAGACTGCATACCCAGTGACAAATAATAAATTAACTTAATCAAGGGGAAAGCATGTTGCTGTGTAGAACACTGAATCACACTTATTTGCACGAGATTTGGACAAACGACAGAGCTTGTGTGCAAACAGCATACTTTAATCTCTGGATGTGTAACTTCAGCAAAGTACAAACAATTAGAGAACACAAGAAAAAAACTCCTTTAAGCAGTAAAATTAGAAGCCATGGAAGAATGTCTTTCAGGTTCATTGTTTACCATCTCATCAAAGTGGCACCTCTCAACCTGCGCACCACTGCAACTTCAGCCCATTTAACACCCACCCATTAAAACTAATGAGCTACAGATGACATTGAACAACTTAAAGGTCAATGTTGCCTCCCACCCATAGGTACATTAACCAATAAGCATACAGAGATTTTTGTTTTTTTTAATTCTGTGGTCTACGCAGGTTGTTGTCATCATAAAATACTTGTGAAGGCGTTGTGAAGTCATAAGTTTTTGCCATTTGTGTGACTGCTGAAATGTGCAGATGACTAAATGGTGATTTTTATAAATCATAAGTATCTTCCTAAGAGCTTTAAGAAAACTTAATCCAGAGGATGAAGCCTGGATGACACAGAAAAAAGAAAAAGAAAGGCCCTGAGGTATACATATTTGCACTTTAGTTTGAAGTGCGCATGCCCTCAGGGATGGCCAAAACCTCAGCCATCACTTCTTAAAACAGCAAAACAATATTATAATACTCCCTTGAGCTCAACAGTAAAACCCACGGTTTGTCTGAGTCCACAGCTCTTGTGTTGCTACACTGACATCTTGTGGCCTTATTAAGACGATAAAAAAACAAACCCTGATTTTAATGAGACAGTTCCTTTGTCATTGACTGTCTTGACCCCTCTCTTACCTCGGGTCATAGGGAATTAGAGACAGGGTGCACAATGGACAATTCACCAGTGCATCAAAGGGGCTATCACAAGAATACAGACAATGACACACCTATGCACCTTTGCACCTATAAACTTAACAAGCATGTCTTTGGTATGTTATCGGGAGATTAAAGCACCTGGGGATAACCCAAGCAGGCACAGGGAGAACATGTCGACTTCTCACAGAAAGCAGATTTTGCAAATTTTGTATGTCAAAAACCTTGTCTGTTTTCTTCAAGCCAGGGGCTAAACGGCCACTGGGAGGTTTTATGGTGGCTTGAAGTTTGTTTTTGCCTGCTAGGAACAGTCAGGTTTTTCATTGATTTTCAGGCCCTTAAAATCCATCTTTCAATGCGCACTTTTAAAAAAAAAACTCCGTAGCTAGGACTGTCAGGTGTAAGGAAGCTGATGTATTCCATCCTGTAAATTGCTGCCTCAGTCTCAGCTGTCCCCTGTTCACAGCCAAAAATATATTTCAGGTTTTTGAAAATGGTCTGTACTAATGTGTTGGGCTTTGAATACTAGAGCAAATTAAAATGTGGGACACCATCTCAGTATGTAGAACAGCGGGACAAGGACTAAAAATGACATGCGACATTACACAAAGCTGCACAGCAGTTCACTTAAGCGGTTTGTTCGTTCATTAAAGCAGCATTGGAGAAGACCAGAGATAGGGGGTAGATACAAACCCTGCCTAGAGGTGGACAGATGATCCAAATATTAATATTATCATTACCAACCCTGGTATTGGTATTGAATCGATACTAGTGGAATAGGATTAATACTTCACCAGGATAATCTGGCATACTAAGGGTTTGCCCAGTGGGCCGATGCGGGTCAACTGAAGGAGCGCTGTGCACCAACCCTACAAGCACTCACAACAGTCCATTTGTTCATTTTCATTGCAGACAATGTATTGCCCAATCAAATCTCTTAACACAATCAGACCCTCCCCCACCTTTGATGTGCACTCATGAGGCTTGTAAAACAGAGTTTAGTGTGGAAGGAGTGGCAAAAAACTAAAAATAAATGCAGAAAAATGTGTCAGATTAACCGACATGTTAGCTGTCTCTATTGCTGCTGCACCGTCAACACCAGCAACAAGTAACAAGCCGTAGAGACGTGCAGCAGGAGGAACTACAGTCACAACAAGAGAGTGAGGAAGAGACAGAGGAAGGGAAATTAATGTGGTATGAAAACAGATGAAGGAACATAATTAGGAAGTAAAGTGAATGGCTACATTGACCATTAGCTAAAGTGTGGCTTTTAATTATCACATAGTGCACTGCAGCTAAGAACTAACCCAACAACATAAAACATGTTGCTGTTTATTTTTTGTTGTTTGTTTGTTTGTTTGTTTGTTTGTTTGTTTGTTTGTTTGTTTTTTTGAGTGATCATGATGGGCTGCGTGGACCAAAAATGCCAGGGCCGATTTCTTTTGTCCCAGTCCAGCCCTGATGAAGCCTATTTTCAAACAACAGCAGAAGACCCAAAGTGCTTTAGAGACACACACATTTACATTCCAGGTCTCAAAAAAAATTGTTTCAAAATACATGAGAAGCTGAAAAGTGAGTTTAGTTGTCGAAAGTAAAATCAGAGTGATTTAATGGTCATTATAATGTGTTTGGAATAATTTGCTAATAATAATTCATCTCATAAATCATGACACACTGCTCTCTCCCCTACATAGGCTGCCTTTGTAGGTTATAAGTACTGGTATCGATATTGGTATCAGCAATACTGACCCTGTATTTACTTGGTATCGGATCCAAAATGTGTAGAATTGCATTAAGTCAACCGCCTTAATGATAAATGAATCACAAGAAAAAGAAAACGTGGATGTGGCTATTCTTTGATTTAGTGACTTTCTACCCAGGCTAGTTCAAAAAGCACACTGAAAGAGCGTTAACAAGAAGACTGAAACATGCAGGCGCAGTTTAACCATTAACGATTATATCCGGTTTGATGTATTTCATTAAACTAAGTCGTTTTGATGATGTTTGTGGTCACATAAAAAATCGTACTACACTTAAAAACGACGTGTTCGTCCACGAACAGTGTAGTTCTTGAATGCTGCCCGCTCCATGATATGCCAGTTTGCGCCTTCAGGAAGCGCTTCAGCGGTGAATATTTTTCAGCAGCGGACCCTAACGGCATCGCTGAACAGAGCCTGGCTTTGGTTTAGCTTGTAAGAAGATGTTTTTTTTTTTAGCTATTAATTGCTAGACCGCTAAATGTTTCCGGTGAATAACGTGGACGAGGATCCATTGTTGGTCACATTAACTTGCTACTATCGCACGCGCCGTGTGTAACCAAGGAAACCATTCTGCTGATGGCAAATAAACAAATGAATTAATAAAATTAAGCAATTTAGTGATGACAACCAAGTGAGTATCCTTTATGTTTACCTTTATTTGTTTAATTCGTTTAATTAGCTCCGCTAGGTAAATGTTGATCATTTTATTTACAGTTAAAAAAAATTAAGCGTTTCTGTAAGGTGTTGGTAGTTTAAGTGGTAGGTTAAATAAACGCAAGGATTTACATATGTTTCCTTCCAGGAAAAAAAAAGTGTTAACATGACTTATTCGATTAAACCTATGGATGTTCCCATGAAAACATGGCAAGCAGAAACAGGGGTACATATTTCTTTCTTTTTCATGGCTCAGATGTAGGGAAACCTTCACAAATAAACAGTGCTAAGAAGAAATTTATATAATGATTCCTCCTGAAGAAAAGCTCCAACACTTTTAGAGGCACGCTCGAGCCCATGAGGATCATTGAGAGGTGAGTATACGGTATAGGCTGTAGTGACACAAACTACCCCTTTTTTTTCTTTAGAAGTCATATTGCAGCGTTTATGTACAGATTTAAACATTACAAACAAAAACAAAAAGCTCCAGCCGAGTCCCTGTCCAGCACATAGACCAATCCCAGTCGATCAGGTTAGTGCCATCTTTGAAGCAAAAGTGGGGAAAAAAAAAAAAGAGATCTGATTGTGGTGCAGCTCAACTGCTAAGTGATCATTTTGGGGAAAATTTCAGTTGTTTAATGTTTGGTTTAAACACCCTTGAGCTTAAGATTTGAAAATCCTTAAAGCTGCACCAAAAACAGCTCGAGTATTCCTCCCACATGTTGACATTTTAAACTCCTAACATCAGACAGCGCTGGATATGTGCTGCAGTGTACACCAAAAAAAAAAAAAAAAAAAAAAGCAGTGATAAACAGGCAGTTATAACATAAAACACGAAATCTGTTACAAGTATAATGTCCAGAATATAGTCACAGCCCAGTTAGATGGAGCTAGCCTGGGGCAGAGTATAATCCAGGGCGTAGTCAGGGCCCATGATCCAGAGTCCAGAAGAAACAAAGGCAAAGCAAAAAGGAAGTGTCTGTCACTTCCTGTCAGATTTCACGAAACAGAAATAAATGCAACGATACAGTCAAAGTCAGTGAACATTATAGAGCAGGAAATAGACCCACCCTGCAGAAAAGCAAAAAAAACCCCTAAAAACGGTCTTTCTTGTGTGCCATTTGGTGACTCCGGTAAAGATGGAAGTATTCACAAACTGATAATAGTGCAAGAAATGTTACGAGTTCTTTCCAGGATATAGACACAGACCACACCAAGGCAGTCATTTAGCTTTTGTCGAACCATTGTGGATCTCACGCTAATTAAAGCTGTGCAGATTTTTCATTGTCCAGCTATTACTGATTGCTTTTTGTCATCAATGATGTTTTTAAACCAGGTTTTATCCAAAATAACCTGACTAAAACAAAGGGAAACATGATCACCAAATCTGGTGTTTTAATATTTTAGCGTTTCAGTTTTTATTTCTCTGAGATGTTATTTTGAATAAAAGCCATCCCTGATGAATTTGACTGTTCTGGTGTCAGGCGCTGAAACACACGGGAGACCATTTTGCATCCCAAAGCCTATAAAAAGCAATAAATAAAGGCTGGGATGCAAAATAGCTGCACAGAGTACCTGTGACATTTCACACTCTGAACTCCTGGACGTAGCCACAGCCCAACACAGACAGATAAAGCAACTCTTAATTAATCTGAGGACACAATCAGTTAACGTGTGACACCAGCTGACAGATTAACAGGAAGTTTTGTTTTGTTTTTTGTGTTGTTTTTTTGGCTTTGAGTTTTTCATTCTCGAGCATTTTGACAGAACAAAATATTAAACAAGAGACCTAATCTCCCCAAACAAGGCAACCTGCTTCAAGAGCATTCCCTTTTTTTTTTTAAACAAAAACAAAACAAAACAAAAAACCCCCAAAGAGAACCACCCTCCCTTCCCTCCCCACCCAAGGCTCATGTAAAGAGAAACAGAACAAATCAAAACAAAAAAAAATGTATAATACACATCAGGAAAATACGTTTTTATATAGTCAATAAATGGTTGTTTTTTTGTGATGAGAGAACTTTATATCTAAGTTTTTCCAGTGGTAAAAAAAGCACCTCCTTTAACCATTGTATGTATGAAGGAGCCTTATTAGACTTCCAGTAGAATAGAATAAGTCTACGGGCAAGCAATGTAGCAAATGCAATGGCATTTTCCTGAGGAAGTATGTATACGATTCAAACAAGATCTCCACTCATCATCAGATAAAACCACCTCAATGTCTTTTTCCCAATTATTTTTAGTTTTTTCCAAGTAATAGGCCTTAAGCTCTGTATCAGTTTGTATATGACGGAGATTCGCCTTTTGCCAAAAGAATCCATTTCCAAAATAGTATCCACTTGATTTTTAGGAGGTAGGTAAGGAAAAGAAGGAAACAATGTTTTTGCAAAACTTCGTATTTGCAAATATCTAAACATATGTGAGGTTGGTATATTGTAATCTCTCATCTAAGCGTCAAAGGTGTTAAAAGTTTCTCCTGAAAATAAATTGTAAAAAAAAACTTCAAACCAATATTATGCCAAATTTGGAATGCTTTATCTGAAATGGATGGCAAAAAAAGGGTTAAAAGCAACAGGGGAAAAATTACTAACCTGTTGCAAACAGAAATGCCTTCTGAATTGAAGCCATATTTTAATAGATGTTCTTACAACTGGATTTGTTATTTTCTGTTTTTGAATTAGAGCTAGGGATGAGGTTAAGAGGGGAAGTGGATTAGACATCAGTTCCATTTTTACCCAAGCTTCACCCTCGCTATTTTCATAAACATATTTCCAATGCAATAATTTGGTGAAAAAGATAAAGATAGATTTTGGCAACCCTAGCCCACCAGCCTCTTTTGGTACTTCCAAATATGTTTTTTCCATTCTGAGATTTGAATTTTTCCAAATAAATGTTGCTATTAATCTATCTAAATCTTTGAAACTTGATTTGGTTATGAAAACAGGAACCATTTGGAAAACATAGAGAAACTTTGGTAAGACCGCCATTTTAACTATATTTATTCTGCCTGCTAATGAGATTGGAAGTATTGCCCATTTTTTAAAATCTTATGATGTTTGTTCTAACAAAGTGTCAAAATTATGAATCCGCAACTCTTTCATTGTGCGGGTTATATTTATTCCCAAATATTTAAACGTTTCTTTTTCTAATTTAAAGGGGAAGGCAGAGAAATCTTGCTCTATGTTATTAATAGGAAACAGTAGGCTTTTCCAATAGTTCACAAACTACACTTTACAGTAGCCTATGTGCAGCACACCCAGATGCTCGATAAAGTGCTCACTGTTGTCAAGGCGCAGGCTCAAATGGAAGGATACAATATGGAGACCACACATTATTTGCGTGAAACTTAATTTTATCTAGAAACAAAAAGGGGAAAAAAATCGAACCCTAAATAATTGCATTGCACTCATCAATAATGTCTTGTGCGGAGATGTGCTGTATTTAGTAAATCAAAAACCAAAGCAAGCAAATCTAAAAGGTCTGGAGGAAAGAGAGAGAGAAAGAGAGTGGTTTATGTACAGTATATCTGCAGAAGATTAAAAAACCAAGTTTCCAACATTAGCTTTTGTGCTTTGTTAGTCAGACAGAACACAAAGTTTGGATTATATATAATAATATAAATCCTAAATAAATCCATTAAGTTGGGCAAGGTGAATGACAGTGCTAGTATATGGGGAGCGACACCTGAAACTAGCAGAGGCCCATGCTAGATTTGCTAAAGCATATTTCAAGTTAAAAGGTAATTTTACATAGATGCTGTGAGTACATTGCGAATCTCAGTCTCAATATGTAATTCTGGTCTGGTCGACCTTTACACAGACGTAGTTATGACAGTGATTAGCCATTTTTTTACATGTTGCTGTTTGGGTTTCTTTTTGTAAATGGTGTAAGGAGAATGTTCAGATCCGCTTTGTATCAGTTTTAAACTCTGCCCTATGATCTCTCTCTGTGTGTGTGTGTGTGTGTGTGTGTGTGTGTGTGTGTGTGTGTGTGTGTGTGTGTGTTTGTTTTCCTCTAGGCTGGGGACTGCAGGCCCAGACGCACTCGGCTCTTGCAAGAGAGGTGCTAAATTTTCTCTGTCCACCTCTCCAATCACAGGTGAAAAGGTTACGATTTTCACATGTCTTCTAAATGTAAACCTCACACAAGGTGGTGCGTTCCCTCTCACGGTCAAACATCGTTACCACAGTTGCTGATATAGTATTATATATAGCAATCAGTTCAACTCTGCTTCTCTCAATGACTATCGCCCTGTAGCCCTCACCTCAGTAGTGATGAAGTGCTTTGAACGCCTGGTCAGAGACTTCATCATTTCTTCACTACCAGACACACTGGACCCACTACAGTTCGCTTACCGTCCAAATCGTTCCACAGACGATGCCATCTCTCATCTCCTCCACACATCACTCACTCACTTGGACACTAGAAGGGGGAATTATGTTAAAATGCTCTTCATAGACTACAGCTCTGCATTTAACACCATAATTCCCTCCACACTCACCACCAAGCTGGAGCATCTGGGACTCAGCTCATCTATGTGTCAGTGGATCTCCAACTTCCTAACTGGCAGACCACAGGCAGTAAGGATGGGCGGACATGTCTCAGCCTCCACCACTCTCAGCACTGGAGCCCCCCAGAAGTGTGTTCTGAGCCCCCTGCTGTACTCTTTGTACACATATGACTGTGTGGCCACTACCAGCTCCACCACCATCATCAAGTTTGCTCACGACACCGTCGTGGTGGGCCTGATCTCTGATAACAACGAGACGGCCTACCTGAAGGAGATTAGGAATCTGGAGAACTGGTGCCAGAGGAACAACCTCCTTCTAAACGTCAGTAAGACAAAGGAGCTGATAGTGGACTTCAGCACTAAGCAGGAGAGGAACTACCAGACCCCCGTCATCAACGAGTGCCCAGTGGAGAGAGTGGACAGCTTCAAATACCTCGGAGTTCACATCACGCAGGACCTGTCATGGTCCTGTCACATCAACACCGTGGTGAAAAAGGCCCGACAGCGTCTCTACCACCTCAGACGCTTGAGAGACTTCCAACTGCCCTCCAAGGTGCTCAGGAACTTTTACTCGTGCACCATAGAGAGCATCCTGGCGGGAAACATCTTAACCTGGTTCGGGAACAGCACCATGCAGGACAGACGAGCTCTACAGAGGGTTGTGCGGTCAGCTGAGCGCACCATCCGCTCCGAGCTCCCTGACCTGCACTCAATCTACAGCAGGCGGTGCTGGACCAAGGCCAGGAAGATCGTGAAGGACCTCAGCCATCCCAACAATGGACTGTTCTCTCTGCTGAGGTCAGGAAAGTGATTCCGCTCCCTGAAGACCAACACAGAGAGACTGAGGAGGAGCTTCTTCCCGCAGGCGATACGGTCTCTCAATCACACCACCACACAGTACTGACCCACACATATGGTTCTTACACACACACTGGATTTTCTGGACATTGTTTTTGCACAACACTGGTCACTATATTCTTCATTTCCAGTTAATACTTGTACAGCTGCTGTTATTGTGTATATATTTATTTATATTTAGATTTCTTCATACATTCTTATATAGTTCTATATTGTGTATTGTGTATTTTGTTGTACAGTTATTTTATTTTCAACTTTAATTTATATATTTTATCTTATTCTTCCCAGTTAAATTTACCCTTCATTCTAATTTGTGTTGTACAGTTATTTCATTTTTAACCTTAATTTATATTTTATTCCTTCCTAGTTAAATTTACCCTTTTTAATTTTTCATATTTATTTCCTATCTTATTCATAGCCTTTCCTTTTTTTGTTTTCTTTAGGTCACGAGCAGTTGTCCAAGCATTTCACTACATATCGTACTGTGTATGACTGTGTACGTGACAAATAAAATTTGAATTTGAATTTGAATTTGAACTCAGATAAGCTGAAAAAGTCCTTGACTTGTGAACTTTGCCTGGGGCAAAATTATCTTTTCTGAAGGCAGAACATATCCTGAAGCAGCTTCGTAAGTGCAGTGTTATCACCCAGGAAGAAAAGATAAAGACTGAGCTGGAAATATCTTCTGGGTATACAGGTATTTTAGTCAACAGATAAACAGCTGTAAACATAAAATAGAATTCCAAATTTGCAGCCATTAGTGTGTTATATTAGCTGCTACTCAGTTTTCTGATGATCTGATAATTTCCTCTATTTCCTTAAACTGTCATGCTCATTAAAAATAACTGAAACACTTATGCTTAAGTATGGTACATTATGTTTTAAGATTGGCCACAAGATGGCGATAGATTTCTGCAGATTTGCACAAAACTACCTTTTAGGATGTTTTTGGAAAGGGGAATTTTTGCTGACCACTTGTAAACAACAGCCTTTCAAACCAGAATTTCCCCTATGACTGTCCAGTCTGCTCGGCAGTAAGCAGGGGTGTTTTGTAATGGTGTTTATAGACATGGAATGTAGGACTGCTGCATGGCAACCCAGTTAATCATTAATGAAGCAGAGGCACAGATGGGAAAGAAGCACATATTTTTAAGCATTTCTCTAGGCTGTGGACTGCAGGCCCCAGCCTAGAGAAACTAGCTTCATTATTTTTTCTCTTTTTGTTTAGTTTGGCTTCCTCCTTGGCTCATAGAGATAGTGTAAAGCTTGAAGTTACTCTATTAAATGTCACTTCCTTTGTTTGTTTCCTCTAAACAGGCTAGCATTTTTATATAACTGATATGTTTACATCACTTTAGAAAATACATTACCACCATATGGTCGTATTGACAACAGAAGTCCCAAGGGCACTACTGCATGCTCTTTAATAAGATTAAAGAATTAAAGGATCACGGTGACAACACCTTCCACAGATATCAAGTCCTGTATGCACTGTTACAGGAACTTCGTGGCCTGGCAACATAAGAAATAGCAGGCACTTGCATAGTTTAAATCATGGGGTGAAATTAGAAGCACAACTGGGAGAGAAAATATAGTGTTGCCTGGGTTTAGGCCAACATACGAATGCCTTTGTATTTATTTTGATCCTGTTGCTTGCTTTTCAATGCATGCATCTTAAGTCACTTATAACTAAGAGCACTGAGGCAAGGTGATGTAGACTCAGAGGAATTTGTAAATGATCCAATTTTGTTCTGTTTCAGAGAGCCAGAGTTTGTTGACATGATGTGTGTAATTGAAAAAATGTGCAGACTCTGGCTGGTGTGTAAGCTTACTAAATCTCTTTTGTTAGGTGATGAGTAAGATTTTGGCATGCCTCTAAAGCTCTATCGGTCACCACTGTTGTGATGGAGGGGAATGTTCCCACCAAAGCCTGGAACAATAAGCTCAGCTCTAGCTATGGATCCTGGTCCAAATATTTAGGTCCATTTTTGATTAACACACAAGGTGTGCACTAACAATATAATCAGTAGATGGGATATTTTTGTGCCAAACCTTTATTGCTGAAGTTTCAAATTTGCTGTGTTGTTCTTATATTGGCAGGGCATAGCCAAATAAGATGACATGTTTTTTTTTCTTGTTCTTTATCTTTAGTTTCGTAAATCTAGAGATTTTGAAAGACTTTATTACATTAAACATTTGGAAATAGTATTTCCAAACTTATCTCTAGTTAGATAATGAATTCATATTTTATGAGTCATAGATATTCCCTCCAACCTTAATTGACAACTCGTGTTTATGGTCCGTATTCACTGACATTTAGTCTCTGTTTACCAGCTTTGTGCAAAAAGTTTCCAAAGTCTGAACTGTAACACTTTGCAGCTGTAGTTATTAAATTGTCTTAGGCTATTGATTGCATAGTTTTTGCAGTGTAAGTATTATAGGTCAGATGTCAGTAGTATTCTCTTGCTTGGAATGAAGTTTTTTTTTTCTTTTCAAAAAGAACCCCTTTCTCTCAGTTTACTTTTGTTCAATTAGCTTGCTGAAATAAACCAACCTTTACTGGTTTATCTGATTTGTTGTAGGCCATGGTTGCCAATCAATACCCAAGACAAAACGGGAATTTGTTTCTCTGTGATGCTGAGTCTAAATGCTATTAGTTTGAAGCACCATACCAGTATGCTGGATCAGATAGCTGTTTTTTAGTCTCTCTGTTTTTACTTTGGTTTGCCCTTACTATATCATTTTCCAAATGAAAGCCCAACAACCTTGCGTCAGTCATGTACTGGAAACGTTTACAATAGTGAACTGTGTGGCTTGCTTGGCAACACATCTACAGATCCCTAATTATATTAATTTTCCTGCCCTGTGGGCTTTTGGTATATTTCAGTGGGATGTGACATATTATCCTTCTGCCAGGATGTGCGTAAGGAGGTAGGGTGAATTAAAAGGATAGAGAGGCATTGTATCTGTCTGTCTGTCCATGCAGGCAAAGCGGTGGGGCTTGAGCCATGCTGGAATGTAGTGATGGGTTCAGCCGTAACTGCTGCCCTAAAAGGGTCTAATGTGCCTGGATATATGGGTGAGGCACTTCTTCTATCCATCAAAGTCTGTTACCATAATCTTAGATTCATGGGAAAATTCAAAGAAATGAGCACTCACGCTGTTTTTGTAACCTGTGCTGCTGGTACATAGCCAGTAAGCCATAAATACCTAAATCCAAGCAGTGCAACGATGGGAACATAACACTGTTAGGCTTAGACTTTTGGTTCCCATATACTCTGCTCCTAGTAAAACAAGAAAAAATACAATTTTGATATTATGATAAACTGTGTGGCTTTAAATCAAATGAAATTCTTTTAAAGGCTGATATTGTGTTCATATCTAGAGAGTGTATAGAAGTGAGTATTTGCCCTCCTATAAAGGCCAGGCCCTTGACTGGAGAGCTGAATTAAATTTAGAGTCCCTTAGTTGTTTAAAGCTGTTGGCACAGTAGCCTGATGGATCCAGTGTCCTCGAAGTGGGTAATGCTGCCATCATATCATGCTGTCTCCTTCCTCTCCAACTCCCTAGTTCTGTATCAGTCAGAGAAACTCAGTATGACAGGAAATGACACACAGTTGTGGTCAGAAGTTTACATACACTCGCCATGAATGACATGGTTTTTTGGGTCTTTTAATTATTTTTGAACAGTTCTTTTTACAGGGTGGAATGACACGACTTTAAAAACAAG